GGACATGAAGTCAGTTTAAGAAAGTTTTCTGAGCCTTTAGCATTGAAGGCACTTGACTTTATACCAGTAACAACACAAGGACAAGAAACAAATCCGTAACACTGCGGAAGGCAGAGCTGCCTTCGGGCAGTACGGGGAGTTACAGAAACCCCAAACGTGGTTTGCCCATCTCCCCTCAGCTGCTCCCTGCACCCAGCAGGGCTCAGCACCACCTCCACCATAGAAGCAGAGAATTATTAGAAGAACAAACAGTGCCTCAAACAGCATTAGTGTTCTTTCAAAAAAACAACCCCCAAAACAACCCAAACAAACCAACCAAAAAAACCCAACAAAAGCAATACCCAGCCCACCCCCAAACCCTCCCCCAAAGAAACCCCTAAGACAAACATTTGGGACATTCCAGGACCGAAACCCAAGGCTTACAAGTACAGGTGGCCACAGCCTTAATTTTCATAAATGAAACTCCTTAAGAACAGGAAAAATACAACAAGAAACTGCCAATCAACACAGCAGTTACTAACACACAGCTACAGTAATTCCGTGGAACAACAAAACATTTCAAAGGAAGAATGTGTTTCAGGAATTAAGTTATTCATCCATATATTAAGGAAAACAGGGAGTCTGGGAAAGGGGAATAAGAAGTTTTTGCATGTTGCTCACTCAATGCAAGTCTGAGCTCTCTAACAGAACAAGGAGCACGAGTCTCCCTCGTTCAATAAAACAATGTTCATACCTCTAGCCTCAAGCAAAATAGTCAGCAATATGTCATCTCCATCAAATTTATAGGAGGAAAGGTGTTAATTTCCAGCCTAATCAGAAAGTGCTTCATGTAAACAAGGAGCTTCTGCACCAAAGTTTCAGTAGACAGAGAACAAGAAGTAGCAGGTAGCACAGGTACGTGTTGTGCGAGATGATGTATGAACATTGGCTTCTGGAAAATGCTTCCATGGAGAGTTAGGATGGGCTCTCCCCTCCTGCTCATCCAACCAAGTAGGAAATCCTATGCTAGAGTACAAAAATACAGTTCCAGTAATTCAACAAATCCTTCTTTTCCACTTTGAATCAGCTGCCATCTTCTTCCCAACTCAAAATACGCAAGTGAAAACACAGATTGTCTACATGGCCTGATTGTCTTTGTGGCCTCAGAAGGACTTCGCTTTCATTCTGCACCTACCCTCAAACACTTTATTCTTTTTCTAATACTGCTCAGCTCCTGAGACTTCAGAAGCAATTCTGTATTCTACAATGCAGACATGTCCTCCCCAGAGGCATTTCTCACCAGCTTATTCCAAAGCCAAAGCATTTCATGATTTCCCTCAAGCCATAACCTCAAAACTTTTCATCAGCCACAAGCCCCAAGCTTGTACAGATCTACAGATCTAACTTGAAATTGTAGATTTCAGCCCCATCTCTGTCTGGGTACACAGTGCCACAGCAAACTAGGGTAACTAAAATAGTTTCTCAAAGTACATCTATTGGTTTCAGGTAAAAATAAATTATTCAGGATAATAAGTCTTCTGAGGACAGCTATAACTTTTTCATCATACACATGATGCAAGTGCAGGGAGTTTCAGGGTTCTGGGGTGTGATGAGAGTTAATGTTGTTAGTGAGCTGGTCTCATGCTGGTGAGGATGAGACCCTGGTGTGTGGTTAGAGCTATGCAGTCAGGCAGCATCGTGCCCAGATCCTCAAAGGAAACCCAGTGAACCTCATCCCTAACCTGCAGCAGCACCAACTCCCCATGACACCTTCGTGCCTTTAACAGTGTCCTACACTGCAGTCCCATGGAAATACCACATATGGGTGATGAAGCCAGGACCACCAAGTGACCTGACTCTGAGGAAAAAAAAAACCAGATTAAAAAAGCTGGCAGAGGTAAAAAAGGAAAACAATCTCCCCTCACCCACAAGACACATCACCTACAGTTTAGCCAAGTTTCTGCTCCAATCCTACCCTTTCCATGGCTGCACCTCAAAAGGAGCATCTGCAGAGCTTCCACAGAAGCAGGAGACACAGGATTTATTGGTCCAAAGACCCATATCTTCATTTATCTAGAAGCTGTTTGGCAGTTTGGAAATGCAGTATTCATTATGTGTCAGTAACACCATGGTGTTACCAGGCCTTGCATACTTCAATGAAACACGTTAGGCAAGGACCTGCCATCAACCAAAAGTAAAGCTGCAGCAAGATTTGTTAACATAGTATTAAGCATTTGGAGCTGCAGGAAACAACTCAGCCTAACTGAGAGCAGTGGACATTGTCTACCTTCACTTCAGCAAGGCTTTCAACACTGTGTCCCACAGCATCTTCATAGGCAAACTTAAGAACCGTGGGTTGGACAAATGGACAGTGAGGTTGATTGAGAACTGGCTGAGCAGCAGATCCCAGAGAGCTGTGATCAGTGGCACAGAGTCTAGTTGGAGCCCTGACACTACTGGTGTCCCCCAGGGTTCCATACTGGGCCCAGTGTTGTTGAACTTACTCATCAATGACTTGGATGAGGGGACAGAGTTGCCTTCTCAGCAAGTTTGCTGATGATACTAAACTGAGAGAAGTGGGTGATACCTCAGAGGGCTTTGCTGCCCTTCAGAGGGACCTCAACAGGTTGGAGAGATGGGCAGAGAAGAGCCAACTGAAATTCAACAAGGGTAAGTGCAGGTCCTGGACCTGAGGAGAAATAACCCCAAGCACCAGTACAGGTTGGGCACTGACCTGCTGGAGAGCAGCTCTGTGGAGAAGGACCTGGGGGTCCTGGTGGACAACAAGATGTCCATGAGCCAACAGTGTGTCCTTGTGTCTAAGAAGGCCAATGGAATCCTGGGATGCATTACAAAAGGCATTGCCAGCAGTTCGAGGGAGGTGATCCTGCCTCTCTGCTCAGCCCTTGTGAGGTCACATCTGGAGAATTGTGTCCAGTTCTGGGCTCCTCAGGACAAGAGGGACATGGAGCTCCTAGAGCAGGTCCAGCAGAGGGCAATGAGGATGATGAAGGGACTGGAGCACCTCACTGATGAGGAAAGGCTGAGGGAGTTGGGCCTGGTTCAGCCTCAAGAAGAGATGACTGAGAGGGACCTTATTAATGTATTCAAGTACATGAATGGGAAGTGCCAAGATAATGGATCAGTCTCTTATCAGTGGTGGAAACCAATAAAACAAGAGGTAACAGCAAAAACTGATGCAAAGGAAGTTCCACCTGAATACAAGGATGAACTTCTTAAGTGTGCAGTCACTGAGCACTGAACAGATTGCCCAGAGAGGTTGTGGATTCTCCCTCACTGGAGATATTCAAGAACCATCTGGACACAATCCTGAGCCATGTGCTCCAGGGTGGCCCTGCTTGGGCAGGGAGGGTGGACCAGATGACCCACTGTGGTCCCTTCCAACCTAATTGATTCTGTGATTCTGTACCCTTTCAGCAGTCCTTAGGTCCCACCTGGGAATAATTCAACCTAGCCTTAAAAAAGTCCTTAGGCCACTCCTGGGATTAAAATTTTCTGCTACAGGGAAATTCATTATAGAAACTGCATTTAAAAATCCCCAAACAGGCCTTTAACCAGCAATCACTACACTGCAGTGGCATCAGATCCTCATCCTGAAAGCAACGTGGTTAAAACTGCATGGTGAGTATTAAGGATGCACTTCATAATTGTAACCATTGCCCCTGGTGCACTGC